AAACAACAAAAAATTAGACTAAGCACTCTACATCCTATTCTAACCAAGCAACAACTCAAAATGATCACGTTGGGCTGTCTCAAAACAATCTTCATGAATTTGGGGGTGGGGGGGTGTCAATTCAAAATGACCCAAGGTGCCTGCCCAGGTTATTATGATTGAAGTCACTTCAATTTCTTCTTCCAAAAAAGGAACTTGACAGATGGGTGGTAATGGCACACACCTTTGATCCCAGCACTTGGGAGGCAGAGGCAGGCTTCTGTGACTTGGAGGAAGCATGCTCTACAGAGTGAGTTCCAGAACAGCCAAGGATACAGAAAACAAAAACAAAAAAGGAACCTGAAAACCAAAACACGTATGTGTTCCACATTATGCAGACTAGTAGAGCAAGCACCGGTTATCACTAATATAAGGATATCCAAACTTTAACAGTATGCTTTTCACATACATTCAAAGTGCTAACCAAAGCAGACAGCATAAACTTCCTATCTACTACTAGTAGGTATGAAGCACTTTTACTTTTCTCTAAGTAACAAACTGTACCACTTCAACGAATCAAAACATTTTAAAACACCAATTCTGATTTAGAAATCATGGAAGATGTAACACATCTAAGACACTTGTTCCCACACCTGACCAAGTATCAGACATCAACAAAAGCACTGAAGGAAATGATTCAGAGAGAAAGAAAAGTCCTCTTGGACCTAGAGCAAACAAAAATCCATTTCAGCTCAAAAACTTGGAATCACAGTCAAGTAAATCATGCAGAGAAGACCTCAATAGAGAGTCGCTGCTTACTGTGCCATTATCCTACAGACTTGTGAGCTCTACTCACTGACTCCTTATGAAGGGCTCTCCTGACTTCAACAGGAAAACCAGCATATGTATGTGGCAGGAGAAAGAAAACAATGGAAGGAACTGTAAGCAAGGAGGGAGTCTGGCATTTTATCTCGGATACTTTTCCCATAGTCAATTCTGTTCCCAGGATCTTGTTCTGAGCATGGCTCCTCTTCACACATCATTTCATTTTAACTTAGGAAACTGATCAAAGTTTACACTGAAAGAAAATTTACTTTAGTTATTCCCTGCCCACTAGAGGGCTCCAAAAATATTTCTTTTGTGAACAGAAGTAAAACAAGCATTACAATTAAAATATTCTATTAAACACATGAAATGTACTAACAAAACACATGAAATGTACTAACAAAACTGTCATGGTATCTTTTGTCTCCAGACTACAATCTGTTAATTAGTAACTATTCATCAACCTAACAAGCAGTTAGAACTGCCTGAGTTCACTATCCTCATACAATCTATTTGGTAGTTTCTTTTCCTTTGTTTTTGAGACAGGGTCTCACTATGAAGCCTTTAATGGCCTTGAACTCACAGGATCTACCAGTATCCACCTCCAGAGAGCAGGATTAAAGGCATGGGTCACCACACCCAGCTCACAGGTGGTTTGCAGATAGTTTTTGATATAACAGATGTCATAAAGTCATGAAATGCAATTCTAGTCCAAAGTCCTAAGTGGTCTCCCAAGTGAAGAGACATTTTTATTAACCTGTGCGCACACGCCGCGTACATGCGCACACACAAACACACACGCACGCACGCACGCACGCACGCACCAAGACCTTTCCCAGTCCCAAGTGAGGGCATCACCATTCCCTGGTTTCCTCCCTATTCCTATCTTCATAATAAATGTCTTTTTGTAGAGCAGCTCACATGTCACTACACAAACAAGCAATGGCTAATGCCCAAGGAAGATCACAAACTGTCAATTCAGTTTTTAAAAACATATAGGGAATTACCATTTAAATATGACATATTATAATGAAATTCTGTTCCAATATTTTCAGTCTTTTCCCCACAGCCAGGTTGCTTTACTGAGGTATTAGTAAATGTACTTCCAACTCTATCATTAACAAGAAAAAACCCAGCATCTCCTGTAAATACACTTATGTTTCTAGAATGCATGAGCACATGCGTTCATGCATGTATGCGTGTGTGTACTGCAGAATGGTGAGAAGGTTCCTTGTAAATTATTTTATATAAGGTGTAACAAATGCATTCATTACAGAGGCACTTTGTCCTAAATTTGGATTATAAAAAATGCTTTTTATAGCAAAACAAAAACATATTTAATGCTTAAAAGTAAATTTTAAATGATAATTCTATTTACAAAATTAAACTGATGTTAAAATATGGGTTGCAAAATGAATCACAATGATAGCCATAAGAGGACTTTACCCAAAAGTCAAATAATTTAGCAATTATCATCTGTCTGGAAGGAATTTCGGAAAATGAAACAGCAGGGGCTCTCTCTGTGCTCCACCCCAACTCCTGGGCAGGTGCCCTAGGGCTGACAAGCACCATTAAGATGTTACAGACAGAAGAACATTTGTTTCTAACCAGCACCAAGGAGCTGTCAACACTGAGAGGTTCACATTACAGCACCTAACAGAAAGACGATTTTGCACTTGCAAGTTCAAGTTCAGAGCTCTCTGACAGCTCTTATCCTAATTAATTTAGAGTCAGGCTGCAAGGAAACATTACTTTGTGGGAATGTAGATGGTTTTCAAATAAAGTAGTAGTAAACTGTCCTCACTTTAAGTGGCCAATGCAAACTCAAATTGTCAGTTACTGGTATGAGGAGTTCAACTATGAAGCATTATATCGATGACTTCAAGCCAGCATTTAATGTATCACATGTATTTTAAGTTGGGGAGTCTTGGAACTTATCAAACAAAAGACACTTCTGAAGGAAAACTAAAATTTAAGTAATGGAAAATGGAGGTTTAAAGGTTATCACAATCGCATCCTCCATCAGATAGAGGAATATGAGACACAAACCCCATGGAGAGCTTGGAAGTCTGCATGGCATCAAGCTACCTCTGAAGCGCATCATCAGGCATTCTATGTTTATTACATAATACTGCTTTGCCCTTGCATATCACCTTTAATCAGAGATCTCAAAGCACCACTGAGTCATCAGGGCCTTAACACACAATCTCAAACACACAAGTAGTTAGAGTTTGTAACTGTATCTATTAATAAAACCTTGCCCCTACTTCAGCCCCCCAGTCCCAACACAGCTTCCACTCTTCAGAGAGGGCAGTCCCCCAAATCACCTCAATGTGTGGCTGCTGTTGTACACCCCACGTTTTCCTTATCACTGGGCCTAAGATAAATGCCACTAAGAAAGTAGTGGCACTGCTTTAATGACACAAACCTGTTTCATTACAACTTCTCTGACAGAATAAATGGCACTCAGGTGGGTGTAGCCGGCACTGTGCTAATGATGTAAAATGGAGGCTTTACAAAGAGCAAATCTTTGCCGGAGGCGATGAGCCCACAGATCACTCATCAAACAGGGGAAACAGCATTTGCAGTTCTGTGTGGAGACCTCTCCAGGCAACTTCGAGAATAGTGTAAAGGGAACCATGGCTGCCACTCCAGCAAGAGACCATTCCCTGGTGCACATCAAGAAGGAAGGAACAACTGAAAGGAGCCAGCGGGACTTTAAAGACTCCAGAAGCAAAGGCTGTGAGCAGTGTGGCCGCCCAGCAGACAGACCCAGCAGTTCCTTTGCATTTGAATAGGGTAGTAAGTGGAAAAATCAAACAAACAAAACGTCTTCAAGCCAAGGTCAAAATCCATGGCTTAGGACCACTTTCTTTTAAAAATATGTAAAAGAGCCCCCCCATAGAAATATTTGACATTTTAAAAATGTAATCATTAGGTGGTATTGGTGGCTCACGCCTTTAGTACCAGCACTTGGGGACGCAGAGGCAGGCGGATCTCTGTGAGTTCAAGGCCAGCCTGGTCTACAGAGAGAGTTCCAGGACAGGCTCCAAAGCAATGCAGAGAAACCCGGTCTCGGAAACCCCCCCCCCCAAAAAAAAATAATCATTAGCAAAGTTTAATTTTGGTTTTGCGCTGTAATACACATACATCCAAATGTCAACCTGACATAAGTGGGTATGATTACATTAACTTCAATTCTTTCATAAACAGCATTATTCATCTCCCTGTTAAATGCATTTTGTCTGCCCTCGGAACTGCAAAGTGTCATTTCGCACTCCTACAAACCCACCCCTCAGCACTGTAAGGCTACAAAGTAACTGTCACACTCAACCCTAACCTTTAGAAACCGACGGGAAAAGCCTCAATAAACAAGAGCACTTTTTGTTTCCAGTCCTCGCAGCCCAGTGATCCAGGCTCAATAAGCATGTTTCATTGGCTTAAACAAACAAAAACCTAAAATGCATCCCTGCTAAATAAATATATTACCAAGAAACCTTGGAATATCTACATATAAAAGGATTCCTTATGTGATCAGCCTAGAAGAAAAAAAAAAAAAAAAAAAAAAAAAAAACTCCTAAATAGCTCCGGTGGTCAAAGCTGTTCAGCTAGACCTTTCGAAGGGTTCGCAGCAAGACTTTTTCCAGAGGTGCGCCCCTGTCCCTGAAACGTATCAGGCGTGCACCTACTTATTGCCTGAATGATTTTGTCTGTCACTGAGCGAGATTGCCTCTTCCTGCCCTAGGCATCCAGCACGGCGCCGGTCCGCGGCTCTGCCCACACTGCCCCTGACGTTTTCCCGAAGCGTTTAAATCCAAGCCTTCAGAGCCTTCTAGCAATCGGGAGGAATTTCCTCCGCTTCCAGCTGCATTTCCGTGCCTCCGGCAACTTAGAAAACAACCGAACCACTGATTCCCCGTGGTTAAAAAAGAAAGAAAAGAAAAAAGCAGCGGCAAAACCACACCAAAAACCAGTGCTTCCTTAAAAAAAAAAAAAAGGGGGGGGGTGCTTGGGCAGAAGCTCGAACTTCTCCAAAGCCAAGCGGGGTGGCTTTGACACCAGTGCCATCCCCCCCCCCGCGCCTCCGTTCCCCTCGGCCCCAGACACCTTCGCCCCCGACGCCGGCGTCTTCTCCGGATTAAATCTGATTAAAAACCACAACGCAATCCGAACGTCAGAACTTATCGTTCACTTACCATATCCGCCGGGACATGACTGGACATCTTGCCTTTTGAGAGTGGGCCAGAGGTTTACGCAGAAAACAAAACAAAAAACAAGAACAGAAGTGCTGGAGCTACGGGGAGTCAAAGACCTTCACAGTTCTGATCGGTTCCTGGCTGAGCTTTTCCAAAAAGGAAAAAAAAAAAAAAGTATAAGTTCCGTGGGAGCCCAAGAGGTTCTGGGGCGAGAGGCGCGAGGGGAGCCGATCGTCAGCAGCAGTAGCAGCGCCAGGACCCGCCGCGCCAGGTGGACGGAGCCGAGTGACACACGGACATGGAGCGGGGTGGGAGGGGGTTAAATGCGCCGTCCTCCTTCCCGGGCCCAGGCGGTGATTCACACGCGCTCGCGACTCAGGTCGTCATTAAAGCCCCGGCGACGAAGTGTACAGATAACTATGTGGCTACACATCGAGCGCGGGGCTGAGGGCGGCCCGGGCCGCCGAGAGACTCAGCGCGCGCCGCGGGGCCGCACAGCCGGGCCGCGCGCAGCCGCGCTCAAGGGCATCGACTTCGCCGGCAGCCGAGCCGAGCCGAGCCGGGCCGAGCCAAGCCGAGCGCAACGCCGTGGGGCTCAGGCCGCGGGCGCCTCAGCGCAGCCGCGCGGCTCCGGCTGCATCGCGTCCGGACTCCGGCCGCCTCCGCTTCGCTGCCTTCCGCGGCGTCTTCCGGGGGCTCCTCCCTCTGCTAGGGAACAGCTCCCCCTCAGAGTCCTGACTCTCCGCCTCCTCCTCCACTTCTCAATCCCACACGCCCTGGGCGCCTCCTGTCATCGCCTCAACCCAACATGGCGGCGGTGGCGGCAGCAGGAGCCCAAGAGCCGACTTGGGAATAGCGCCCCCTCTCCGCCCTCGTCCGCGCTCGTTCCTTTCGTCACAACGGAGCTCCCCAAGCATCATGGGAAATGTAGTTCGTGAAGGTGAGGGGAGGGGGCCGCAAGGGCGTCTTCGCTCTCAGCGATGCCACGCCCCCGCGTAGCAACAGTTGCTAGGAAAGGATAGCTCCCTTGTTTCGCCTCAGCTTAGCCTCTCTGCCCTGAAGTTAGGCCCTACTAGTGTCCTGAAATGCTACCTATGATCATGCAGATTGTTGGAGGAAAGCAACTTGCACGGAGAGAGTCCCTCGCGCACGGCGTAGACACAGTTAAAATAGGACACTCCTTGGTGCAGGAGCATGCGTTTTAATTATTCCAAGTTCTTCACATCCTGCAGTCTCAAACCGTTTTTATTGAGTGAGTTAATCTTTAGGTCTCTTCAACATGACAGTTTGAAGATCTGAAGAAATCATTGATTTTCAATAAGACCGTGGAAGTACAACAGAAACAAGGTTTTCATGAAGCAAGATGCGATGTTTGAACACATTTCCAGAAGACCCAGGGCCATAAAGCTACAATCTACTTAATCGAAATGACCAGAAACTATATTGGGCACAATTGTGCTATCATGGCAGATCTGTAGCAGACGCTACATGTGGGTTCACCCACTTATCAGCCTAGTCCCTGTTTAATCCGGTGATGTAATTGTCTTATGAGTTTAAAACAGCATAATATAATACCGGTGTTGGAAGATTTAGGTGAAAAATATGTCTACCATGGATATAGCATTAGAATACACAAACCACAGGTATCCACTTGATGCTTATTCATATCTTAGGCATTTCGGAAGGGCAATCTCAACATGATACCACCTCTCTTACCTACAGCTGTGTGACCTCACTTGTGAAGCAGTCTTGCCTACCTTCCAGGGCTAAAGTCTAAGTGCTGTTGATGATGAGTGTATTTATGCATGGCACATACGTCATTTTATAAATAACTGCACGTTTTCTGATGTGAACTGTTGCTACTATTACTACTAATTCTCTCTCTCAGCAGACAAATGTACCAAGCAATCCAGCCACTGAGAGTTCAAACATGAGCTATGCTGTCCCTATCTGCAGGGAGCACATTGTCTGGGAGCCTGTGTCATTCCCCAGAACTATCTCCCCAGTCAGGTTTTTCCTCATCTGATGGCAACTCATGGGACACTTAAGAGTACCTACCTGTCACTTGAGTGGCCTGGCTGAAGAAATTCCACGCACTCCTAGGGGCCTATATCACTTATTTCAGTATCTGTGGGTTCCATGATTTGCCACAGCCCCTGTTAATGTGGTTTCTCTTTCTCTGTATTTAATAACTGTAGTACCCTTCTCCACCATCAACCCTCCTGGAATTCAGGACAATTGTAAATCTTCAATCTATCAACAGAAATATTGGATTACCACTTAAAGACACTCACCAATGTTAATTCCCCATGCCACACCTACCTCCTACACACACACACACACACACACACACACACACACACACACACACACTGTAGTTTCCCTGCCCATGGCTCTGCAAGACCAACTGCTATTGAAAGGCAAGAAGTAGGGCAGCAGGGCCAAGTAAAGCTGTCCACCAGCCCCATTGCCTACTTCAGGCCCAAGACTTTGGCATTTCTGCTATAGGATGCTGTTTGCTCTGGCCCCTTCTATGTAAGGCTGCATCCTTCAAAAGTAAACTCACTGAGCCTTGTTGCATTGCTCAAATAAGACAGGCTGAGATATTGTTATCAGCAAAACTCATTGGACCCTTTCTCAGACAAAACTAAGGCATGAAGGAGCATTTCAGAAAACATACAGATTTTTTTTCCTGCTGTGCTGTCTTTACTGTTGGCTTCCAGGCTCTAGAGAGTGAAGGGAAAGCCTGCAGAGAGGAGCCTGACTGTCCACAGCAGGGAAGGGTAGCATCTCTGTGTGCTGAGAATCTATTGTCAGCACCACTGGGGAAGAAGTGAATGACACAGCATTTTTGATATGGAAAAACCAACCTCACAAGAAATCAAAGAGCTAACTCTGCCACAAACGAGTTGTGTGCCCTTTGCTGATCTGCTATGCCTCTCCAAACCTTCCAGGGGAGCCTCACCTAAATCTCCAAGGACCCTTCTAAGAATCTGTGATGGCACCATGACCTGTCAAAAATAGCTCCCTCAAATTTGTAGAGATCAAAAGGTTTCCTGGAGGGGCACAGGGATGAAGAAAATGCTAGAAAATGAGGTTATGGCAATGGTCACAGCTGGGTATGGTGTTAGAAGCCTGTAATCCCAGCACTTCAGAGGCTGAGGCAAGAGGATGGCCGGGAGTTTGAGGCCAGACTGAGCTGCATATTAATACCAGGGCAATCTAGGTTACATACCAAGACCCTGTCTCAAACAAAACAGAACAAAATTGGAAAAACTGTGAACATTATAGAAACTACTGAAGGGGGAACTTTAGAAGTTCTTTTAAAGTTTTTCAACTTCGTGTGTGTATGAAAGAGAGAGGTGAGAGAGAGAGAGAGAGAGAGAGAGAGAGAGAGAGAGAGAGAGAGAGAGAGAGAGCACCTTCTACACATGACTGCCCTTGAAGGCCATTCAGGGGCATCAGATCCCCTAAAAATGGAGTTATAGGTAATTATGAAACACTCTGTGTGGATGCTGGATGCTGGGAACTGAGTCTGCATCCTCCGCAAGAGCAACCAGTGTTCTTAACCACTAAGATATCTCTCTAGCCCTAGAAGGTTTTTGTTTGGTAATTGGGGGATAGGGGGGTTGGAACAGGGTTTCTATGTAGCCCTGGCTGTCCTGCATCTTGCTCTGTAGACCAGGCTGGCTCTGAAGTTAGTTTTTTAATAGCAACAAAATACATATAAGTAAAATTGACCAGCATAACTTTTTAGTTGTACAGTTCTGTGACATTAAGTACATTCATCTGTGGAAGAGTCATCCTCGACACCCCTCTACTCATTAAACAACAACCCGCCTCCCCTATCCACTACTTTCTGTTTAGATAATTGTTTTCGACTCTATTCAGTACCTCATGTGAAGGGAAAGAACATTGGTGTTTTTGTGAATAATCTCTTTCCTTTGGCATATTATCTTCAAGGTCCATCCACGTTTAGCTTGTAAAAAAATTCCCTTCATTTTAAAGGGTAAGTTATATTCCATTGTATACATATCTATGGGCAGACCCTCTCACTACTGAGGACTGGCTGGATTTGACAGTGTATAAACCATATCTCAATAAAATAGTTTGCACAAAGTCAGCCCTAGCTGCCATGTAAAGGGTCTAAAGCAATTAGAATCTCAGAGCCGTTCTTTGTTTTCCCAAGGAGACTGGATGAAAGTGAGGCCAGGAGAGTAGGGTGGAGATTGAAGTCCAGAAGGCCTTACAAGCAGATGACAAAATTAGCATAGGAGAAAAACCTGCCAGCCAAGGCAGACTAGACATGGCAGGAGCCACTGGTACAGTCACAGAGACACTTGAGGGTGTCTGAAGGTGACCTGTGGCTCATGATACACTAAGCTTCACACCTCTGGGTGGAGATTTAAGGTCACTGACCAGACATGTGATGCATGAAGCACTATGAAGAGCAGATGAGCAGATCGAACACGGAAAAGCCTGTGCTATGCACATGATCGCCCAGGTCTCTGCTGTGTAACTGTGCAGCACAGCTGCTGTGTTTCTAAATAGCTCTGCTCTGTCCTGCTTCATCCTTTGCAATGGTCCTAACAATCTGTCCTAGCTTCTGCTACCATCAGTTTATCTCCCTGGTCACTTCCTTGTCCTAAGACACAAAGGCCTGGAACTCTTTTGGGCCTGCCCACCAGCCCCAGATGTCCACCTGGATCTAAAGAATGACTTGACTTATGCTGAGGGATGATGGTTCAGTCAGAAAAGCATCCGTGGGACCTGAGACAGACCATGAATATTCACATAAAAAGCAGTGTGCTCAAGGAACGCTAGGGTGGGGGAGGAAGACAGACAGACCCCCTAGCCAGCCACTGTAGCCAATGGGTGATCTCTGTACTTAGAGGTTCTGTCTCCAAAACTAAGGTAGAGGGAGAAGGAGATGGCTCAGTGTGGAAAGGCATTGCCCACAAAGCCCAAGGACCTGAGTTCAGATCCTCAGAACCCATGTAAAAGCCAATTTTAGTCATTTACGGGACAGTAGGAGATTCAGTGGAAGTTTGGAAGCTCACTAGCTATCCGCTAACCATCTAAAACAATGGTTCTCTACCTTTTAATGCGACAACCCTATAATACAGTTCCTCATGTTGTGGTGACCCCAAA